GTGGAAGATTTTTTTTGCCCTTTTTGGGAATAGACTGAACACGAGCAATCTTCCAACAAGCAGGAAAACCCCCTTTCTTGTAAGACAGGTTGACAAGTCTGCAAAATTCTGGCTCGAGTTCATTTGCGCACTTTTGAGTACGATGATAGGCACTTCATCAAGACCAGACGCCTTGTTGATATTGAGCTGTTTCAAATTTCGCCTGACTAGACGATGTCGAGTAATTTCCGGCATTGTGGATTTTAGTTTCGGAATAATGGACGCGGTGCCTTTCCCAGAAAATCAACTGAGGAGTGGGACGCAAATTTTTCAGCTGGTAGATTTGCTTTTTCTTTGGCTGTTGTTGCAATTAAACCATCCGCTTGTGTTAGTGTTGGTTTTGTGGATTTTGTAAATTTTTTAGGTGAACTCCCTAAGATGACTGGACTAAACGCGAAATTGATAAAACCTGCTGATTCCACAACATAAATTAGAAAATAGATAAGAATAAGAATATATGAAAATAAGATTTTTTCGGCAACCGTCCGGAAAGTATCCACTTGATGGACGCTTCTTCTTTGAGAAATTAGCATTTTTTCAGCCTAGTCCGGAAAGTATGTATGTGATCATCTTCAAGAGGAAGCCGTGTTATGAATCACACGTTAAAAGCTAAGACCTCGTTAGTACTTAGCTCGCAAAAGTTTCTCAACTTCTGAGAGTTGCCGTTCGTATGGGGGCGACAGCTGATTTACGGAAAAACATATTTTAAACAGATTTTTTTGAACAGAAAGATTAAACTGAAGGTTAATCTTCCTCTTAAAGATATTCACTTGGTGATTGAAACACTTGTCGGGGTGTTAAAAATATTGGTTTGGTGTTGTGATGAAACTCTAGTAATATGCATTTGAAATGTTGTTGACAGTGGCCTACAGCGATTGTACTCTGACTCAGAAAAATGTTTATAAGTGGTACAAATTTTTCACAGAAGTCGAGAAGATGTGAATGATGACGCTCTCCCTAGACGCCTCAGGCCATCAAGAACCGAAGAAAATGTTGAGAAAGTGCAGAAAATCGCTATGGACAATCGTCGATTTACTATCAGAGAAGTTGATGAGAATGTCCGCATATCGGTTTGCGCATACCATGCAATTTTTTTGTAAATTTTGGGCATGAAGCGAGTGCCAGCGAAGTTCATTCCAAAACTGTTAAACCGTTGCTCAGGAATTTTTGAATGACGTCAACGGCTCAAAAGATTTACTTAAAAGGGTCATAACTGGTGACAAATCATGGACACATGATCATGACATCGAAACCATAGTTCAATCCTCCCAATTAAAAAGCCCAGGAGAGCCGAGACAAAAAAAGTACGCCAAGTTCGATAAAATGTCAAGGTTTTGCTCACTGCGTGCCGAGATGAAGTGCATCAGGAATGCTTGCCACATGGTTGTACGGTCACTACGAAGAAAACGTCCGGTGTTATGGAAAAACAATTCATGGCTTTTGCATCACGATAAAGCACCTGCTCACTCGTCATCACTTGTTCCTAATTTTTTGTCCAAAAACAACACCGTAATCATGTCGCAGCCACCGTATTCACCAGACTTCCCCCCTGCGACTTTTTCTCAAGATTGAAGACACCAATGAAAGGACGGCGTTTTGCGACGATTGAGGAGATATAAAGCGAAATAAATCCATCCTTCTGATCAGCTGCATCAATCAATCAATCAAAATATGTTTTGTGTGATGTGCCCTAGCTCAGTATATCATTACAAATGCTTCACAAGGAGCATTTATAATGATACTAGTAATATGTTGCTGTATCGCTGCTGTTCCAATTTTGTCAGAATCAGAATCAGAACAGAACAGTGCTTTCAAAAAAAGTGTTCTACAGCGCCGTCTAGAGGCAAGTTAGAGAAAAATTGGTAGCCTTAAAACCTTCTCTATGAAAAATTACTCATACATGTCAAGTTTCATTAGAATCAGTTGAGCGATGTAGAAGTTTATCACTTACCAACCAACCAACCAACAAACATCCATTATTATATAGTAGATACTGAGGAAATAGTTTCATTTGGATAAGATCAAACTTTTTACTCAAATAGCACTTAGGGAGAAATGTACGGCATTCTCGCCCGCGAAATTTTGTCACCTGAGCCGAAAGCGAAAATGCTGTCGATTTTTTCGTAGATTTAGCGTTTTTCAATCACAGACTGAAAATTTAACAGTCGTCTTGTATTTCAAGTTGTCATAGACAGTTTGATGAACAATTCTTCGCTAGAGAACGTGAGAGAACGAGGCACTTTTGTCCCGCATACAGTAGAAGATAAGAGAACTTTTCATTCGCAATGAGAAAAAAATATTACATTTTTTTTAGGTTTGTTATACGAGTAAATGTCGTTCTGGACTTCTTGTAGAAAAGTTTAGCCAGGCGTTTGTGTTGTATAATTTCAGGATCTACTTTGACTCCTTTTTTCCTTATTTGGGCGTTTTTCAGAGAAAAGTATTCTCAAAACAATTATCAGAATACATCACTAAACTGGTTCCATAGCTCATCAACTGCACTACTTTTAATTTGATGTCATTTTGATTTAAAAAAAATCTGTTTTTCCGTTAACCAGCTGTCGCACCCCTACCAACAACAATCCTCAGAAGTAGAAACTTGTGCGAGCTAAGGTTTAACGAGGTCTTACCTTTTAACGTATGATTCCTAACAGCAAGTGAAAATCGATCGTTCATTCGAGTGAATGAACAAAGCACCCACGTCGAACCGACCGACCGGTTCATTTATTTTGAAACATGTTTGAAAAACTATTAATTAGTTTCTGTTTTTATGTCGAGTTTACGACGCCAAATGACATCCCTGTAAACTTAAATTAGGAGCGAGTCTACAGTGGAGATGCATGTCGAGTTTACGACTCCAACTGACCTCCCTGTAAACTTGGATCAAAGCGAGTCTACAGTAGAGATGGATGTCGAGTTTACGACTCCAACTGACCTCCCTGAAACTTGGATACAGCGAGTCTACAGAGGAGATGGATGTCGAGTTTACGACTCCAACTGACGTCCCTGTAAATTTAGTTCAGGAGTGAGAGCTGCGTCATACGCAGAATCTGTGTCAGGTGGGGGAACAAACCCTCTATGTCAGGTGTAGCTGACGTGCAAAAACCCTTATATGGGAAGGTTGTCGTGGGTATCAAAGTGGGAATCTTGCAACTTGACTATCCGACTACCTCATTAACAGAGCATATACTTTGTGTCTGCACCGCTGGGGACCGAATCAGGTGTTTAGAGTTCTGCAGAGCCGTACTCTTACCATCTGACCTTAAAGACCACTCAACTTACAAACTAATCGGCTTCTTTAAGATGCTGGATTTATTCGGCCGAGTGTTAATAGGTATGAGCCACAATAAACCCTTGCGGGTTGTTGTGGAGGGTCGAATAGACCCACTCACTTTGGACCTAACATAACTCTCAAATATCTAGCATTTCAACAGATGAATCACATCAGTTCGCATTTTGTAGTTACTTCCTTTCTCGACATAAAAAGTCATTTCATTTAAATGGCATTTCATTAAAAATTAACCATTTTTTTGCTGGGAATATTACTGGAGTTTTTTTCCCCAACACCAAATCGTTATTTTTAACACCTCGACACGGGTTTCGATCACCAAGTAATCATCTTCAAAGAGGAAGATTAAAACTGGGAAGTTTGAAAAAAGGTTGAGGAAATTTGACATTTCTTGCTGGATTGGCCTGTTGCCGTCTGTACACTAGTCAAAAGTATTTTTTAGGAAAGGGGTTACAAATAAAAAGGACAACTCTGTAGTTATTACAAAATATTTAATTTAATAACAAATCATTACAGGATGCTTGTATTACCGAGTATAATAACAAAAAATAACTTCTTGAAATTTTGAATTACCAAAATCTGTGACAACTTCGCTGACTTCAATTTTTTTTTCAGGTTCAATGATTAATAATAAATTCATCTAAAGAAATGAACGTTCAAATCAGTCTCTAATATACCTATGCGGTAGGTTGAATGGACTGACGCCTATCAGAAAACAACTACTTCCCTGGCTAATACCACGAAGGGCGTTGGATTATATCCGACAGGCGTCAGTGCAGGAATCTTCACAGAAAATTTCCTGCATATGCAATTGACAATACAACTGAAAGAATTGACGTTCAATTTTGGAAGGGGCACACTTGCAGACCGGTTTCGGGCTCATTAGCCACTCATCAGTGGCCCTCATCGACTTAAAGTCAATGATATTCCATAATTGAAAATTGGAGTTCTTTCAGAGTATTTCATTCCTCTTCCTAAGTTGGAGTGAACAACAAAATGTCACTCCATCTAGTGGATGAGGTACTAACCAACTGCATATCCGTAATTTGCTCGATTCCTCTAAATAAGGAAGAAAAAGTTTCTTATTAGTCAGTGGGCTATGTATATTGTATATTAATTTATTTATCTTTTAGGTGTACAATTAACTCATACAGACACATTGTACAAATAAGAGAAGTCACGGCTATGCAGAGCGAACAGTTTAAAATACATCATAAAATGTCTATATAAATATAGACATACATCAAAGTTATTATCATTAGAAAAGCTAATACAGATCATTGGCATTATTCTGCCCAACTAGAGTTGGGCAGCCATATTCATCCATAGAATAGAATGTGTTTGAGATAAGATGATTCTTTAGGTATTTTTTGAAAGTATTATAATCGAAAGCTTTAACTTAAGGAGGCAAGATATTATAACAGCCAACGTTCATAGAATTTTTTCTTGATTTGTCCAATCTGAATCTGTTCGGTCTTATGAGTAGACTGCCTTGAAGACTGGCAGTTAACAAATCTAAAGAGAAATGAACTTTAAACATTCAAGGGCGTTGGATTATATCCGACGCCTTTCGTAATATTAGCCAGGGAAGTAGTTGTTTTCTGATAAGCGACAGTCCATTCAACCTACTGTGTAGGTATATCCGAGACGGACTTGAACATTCAAAGTTCATTTCTTTGGATTTGTTTACTGCCAGTCTTCAAGCATGTTAATCCCACTGACTAATAAGAAAATAATAAATATGTTAATCGACTTTGCGACAGTGTTGATCTAAAGAAGTTTTTAATAATCTTCTGTTTCGAAAATGATATTTCACCGTGTGCTACTGTGACTAGCAATGTGAGGTGAATTCAAAGGTTTGTGTGGTCAGATTCGGAAACACATTCACAAATAATTTAAAATATCCAAAGGTAAGCGGCACGGTGCATGCTGTATGGGCTCACATATAGTAGGTGGGCATATTTGAAGACCGACTGTGAATCATATCATCTGAAAGAACAATTCGTTCAGGCCTACACTGTAGATCAATGGACTGACACCTATCAGAAAACAACTACTCCTCTGGCTAATACCACGGAGAGCGTTGGATATCTGACATACGCCGCCACTGTACAATGTGAGTCTAGAAAATGTATTGGTAAATTAGCTTGCATGATTATATTGTTATCAACACAACACAGCACCTCCATGTGTGAGTAATAAATCCTCAATGAAAGGTACCCATTCTCTACAACTGGTTTCCATTGGCAAATACATTCTTAATAGTCGATATTAAAGGAAACCTCTTACCACCCCCATTTTCACTTTGACAAAGTCCCTTATAATCATCTGAATTCAAGCACCACACCATTGCCCCTCCAAACCTGTTATCCCTTATGTACTCAGCCTTATATCTGAGACTCTGGCTATTATCAAAAGATACCCATTCATATTCCTTGAACGCATATGGGCTCTTGTTTTCTATGTCAAAAATTGGTGTGATTTGATTAGAAGCTAGAAATTGACATAACTGAGGGAAATCAACAAATCCTGAGTTTCCTAGTTCTCCATAACCAAGTGCTGGAGCATACATACCATTGTTGTTTGGGTTTGCCAGCCTGAAATAATAATAATACTGATTTATTTATTTGTTTATTTACGGACTTGCCATTATACAATGAACACATAAATAGGGTGATTGAAAAAATAATCAATTGAATAATAATATAGAATACCATAAAAAAAAACAAATATCAATTGATTATTAATAATAATAATCAGCAGTTCAGAGTGCTCCAAAGTAGATAAATTCAAAAGAAGCAGAATGTTTGAGTACTCATAGTCGGACCTCAGATAACCGAGCTTAAATGCACATGATCTCAGAAATTTGTTTTGTACTTTCTCAATCATAGATATATCTGTCTGATATGTAA